TAGAATCCCTTCATTGTGGTGCTCCTCCCCCAAACCAAACCAACCAAACCCAAACTCACTGCCACTGAGCCGATCCCGGCCGGCTCCCAGGGGCCACACAGGCAGAAGTGGCTGGGGTTTCAACCACCCCCCCACCAGGTCTCCCCACTGTTCTGCAGGAGAAAGATCGGCCTTCTCCTCCCATACACGCTCAGAAATCCTGTGGAATTCTCCTCTATCCTATCAGATAGCAAGCTGCTAACATGTTTGGCTGCTAAATCACGGAGAGGCCTGGTGTTTGGCTTCTGAGAACTCGGGAGCACAGTTCAACTTTGACTCACAAGGGGTCTGACACACGAGGCAGAAATTACTCTGTGGCAACTGGTTATCTTCATTTTACAGAGAGGGAGCGCGGGGCTCTGAGAAATTAAGCACAGACTTACGCCATAGGGATCTGAGTCCGGGTCTGCTGGTCGACATCTGGGCAGTATCTTACCACAGGATTGAACCTCCCTAGGCCTCCGTCTCCTCCTCTGTTAATACACACATTAATGTGTACATGGCCCCCGAAGCAGGATGTCCTTGTACACATGGGCTGGGATTTGTGGCAAGACGGGAATGAGAGCCAGTACCTGGCTCCTGGTAAGGACTCATTTTTTTTTAAATCATTTTATTGGGGGCTCATATAATTCTTATCACAATCCATACATCCATTGTGTCAAGCACATTTGTACATTTGTTGCCATCATTCTCAAAACATTTGCTTTTTACTTGAGCCCTTGATATCAGCTCATTTTCCCCTTTCCTCCCTCATGAGCCCTTGATAATTTATAAATTATTATTTTGTCAAATTTTACACTGTCCAACATCTCCCTTAACCCACTTTTGTTGTCCATCCCCCAGGGAGGAGGTTATATATAGATCCTTGTAATCGGTTCCCCCTCTCTACCCCACCTTCCCTCCACCCTCCCAGTATCGCCACTCTCACCGCTGGTCCTGAAGGGATCATCCATCCTGGATTCCCTGTTTCCAGTTC